CAAATTTAAATTCAGCTTCCTCGTACCCACGGGTAACACGTATGGCTCCATGAAAGTTTTTTACGGGCAAATTAATATCTCGGGAACAAGGAGTATGAGAGGCTGAAATTTTAAGGTAATGACTCACTACCCACGCTCAACCTTGCCCATTCAAATTCAGCCTTCCCGGTAATCGTTCGATGGGCTGAATTGCACGAAACGCATGATCGCACCGGCTAGTCTGGTGCGCGTTGCTATTTATTAAGATTGCATAGATACCTTCCTGTGCATCTGTTCTCCCTTATTCTTGTCACATAACTAGCCCAGCTCTTCTTCCCGGCATATACTGCCCTGATATTATCTCTCACATCAAGCCGAAACCATGGTATTTCACTGGAAACGTGTTGCAACTCGCAGACACCTACCATGCATCCGTGTGCGCATGTGTATGTGTATGTATATGTATGTGCACTTGATTATTCGTGTATATGTAGGCGTCTGTATGTGTGTGTTTGTGTGTATGTGTCTGTGCGTGTATGTATGTGTGTATTCCTATATATATGTATGTGTGTACGTATGTATGTATGTGTGTATGTATGTGCATATGTATGTATGTATGTTTGTATGCATGTATGTGTGTATGTATATATGCACGTATGTATGTATGTATGTATGTATGTTTGTAAGTGTAGAACAGAAGGATTAGACTTAAGTGTCATGTGTAAGAATACATTTCACGATGCGGTCTGTCTGTGTTTTATCCCTTAGCTGTAAAACACAAACCGATCTTTGCATGCGGGTAGGAGCAGGGATCATCAGTACAGCCTCTTCCTACCCACCATGTACCAAACACCCGTGTAACTAATTTGCAAGACGGATATGCGAAAGGAAAAGAAAACGGAGAGAAAAACAAAAGTGAGGGAGGGAAGAGGAAGTTAATCCATGACACGGACAGTCATTATCTGTCACTTATGAGGAAGCTCTTTCTATGAGAATAATGTGCTGACTAGGCGTTTAATTCCTGAATCATTAGGAAAAATGAATTTGCTGAGTACTTGTCGATTCCTGAAGCAGAATCTGAGAACGGAGCGTTCTATTTTCGCAGTATTAAACTTTTTATGTCCATAGATGCTTATAAGCCGTCTAGCCCAGTCATGGAACTCCTGTGTATGTTTATGTGTATGTGTGTAAATATGTATGTTTGTGAATTTGGAACGAGACTGCAAACAGCGTCGGTCCATTTGTCAAAGACAAAATGTAGAGAAGATTTCGAGTCTAATTCCAATATATTTCAGGCTCGAGGATGAGTGTTCTCAATCTCAAAGTGGGTTTCTATGGTGGTGCAGAATCACTGTTCGATATGCAGAAAGAGCACAGTGTTACGTTGCCAGCATCCGGTCCAGTATCGATCGCTGATCTGTTGCGCTATATCAAGGAATCGATGTTGTTGGACAAATCACGATCGCACCTATTGCTAGACAAAGAATGCAAAAATGTTAGCCCCGGGATTCTGGTACTCATTAATGACCGAGACTGGGAGCTGGCCGACGGTCCAAGGACGATACTCAGCGAAGGCGACAGTGTTACGTTCATTTCATCGATACATGGCGGATAATTCTGTGAAATTTATTTTCTGAATTTGATCAGTGGCCGGTGCTTGCTCAGTACTTTGTAAATCCATAGTTTTTGTTAAATCTGCGCATATTTTTTGAGTTTCTGTTGTTAAGTTTGTGAAATGTTTGTGGTAAATTTTTGTTGTAAAATTTTTTTTGTCAAATTGTAAGTATGGGGAATTTTCCTCCTTCTCTTGGTATGCATATTTTATGAGAAATGCGAACTTAAAATAGATTGTGCAGTAGCACATGCCAATAGCAACCACTCGCTGGTAAAGTTTTTGATGATTGCTTCTTCTGAGGGCATATTAAGGCATCAGTTTGTAAAAGCTCAGAAAATAGCTTAAGATTCATCGTAAAAGTCGAAAATTTACGTTTATGAATCTGTCCCAGTACATTTTCTCGTACTTTCTATTAAGGTCTCACGTTTTTTTAACAGCAGTAAATGCTTTACAACAATTTTCAGTTTGCGAGCAGAGAGTGGCGTAGAATGTCGATGATTTTCAACGACGTATCAGTTACTGCAGTAACTCCATGAAGCAGATAAACCTCAAATTTGGGTTATTAAACCATACTGAAAAAAAAAAGAAACACCTCAACATGAAATGCAATAAAATAAGTACTACATATACCCGATACACTGGCTTTTTCCATCCACAACATTCCCCATTTCGAGTCCGAAATCACAAATTGTTTTTGTGAAACCCATATAATGAAACAATCAAAAATGAACAGAGTATATTCTTTTTTATTTAGCAGTTTGAGTTTTGCCTCCAAACAACTCCAGCAAAATGTGGCTCATACTGCAGTTCCTGGAATTCGGGTGATTTTTCTTTCCTCCTGCCCCTTCCCTCCCACACCCCTCCTCTGCGAGAACAAAGTACCGAAGAAAGTCCTAATGTACCATTGGATCTTTTCCAGTTACTTTACCTAGTACTGCACTGACCTCAGTCAACAGTCTGAGATTGAACTCTACATTCGTTTCACCTTAGGGAAGGATTATCCTGAACAATCTATGATATATCAACATAATCCTTAAAAGAAATCATAATCATAATCCTTCAGTAAAGGCAGTGGTCCTCGGTAAGCAACCCAGAAGTGGGAACAATTGTCAACAGCACCCTCTTTCGAGAGTTGCTTATAAGCAAGAATTGATGATGGGGTTGATTCCCCTTGCGTATGCCAGTACCAATTTACTATCGAAACGAATGAACGAATCATAGAGGAATTTACTTTCACCTTTGGGGGTCCGAACCTTTGAAGTACTGTGCAGTAATAGCTTTATCCCAGTAGATTATAGTATATATAGAAGATAGCTTAGCACATATGACACGAGCAGCGTGGCGCAGTGGAAGCGTGCTGGGCCCATAACCCAGAGGTCGGTGGATCGAAACCACTCGCTGCTAGCCCCTGTTTTGCAAATTTTTCTTCCACTGGAAATGGTTAATTCAAGCTATTATTGCCAGATTTCTTTAATTTTAACGTGTAGGAGCATCCCAGTAACATCACCAAACATCAAATTCTCGTACTGGTTCTTCGGAGTACTTCTAGAACGGCGCCATAATAATATTATTATGGATGTACAAGGGCCTTCGAAAAGGATAGTTTTTATCGCAAAATTTGCACCTCAAGGTTGATTTTGGCATCTTCATTTATTTTCACATTTTTAAACTCAATTTATTTTCTTGGTCTTTTATAGCTCGGTCTTATTTCCGGCACTCAATTTTTTGTTCAATTTCTTCAATTTTACCGCGAAATTTTACACCCCAAAGCTGATTTTGGTGCCTTCTTCCCTGAATTTTGAAATTTTTAAACTCAATCTATGATATTTTCGATAAAATTGAAGTAATTTCCATAAATCGGAGCGATTTTTACAAAAATGATTGAGAAACCTTCCTCGTCATCAAATCAAACATCACAGAATCAATATCATACATACGAATTTCAGAGATCAGTTCGATTCATTCTCTGTAACGATCAGGCTACCGTCGATGGATCCCAGCAATACTTCCTCGGAGTATCACTGATAACATGCTGCAGATCCTCATCGCTCACTTTGACTGTTAGAGATTTGAAATTTTCAACCACATGTTCACGTTTGCTTGTTCGTGGCAAAACACTGATTCCTGAAACTGATTCTTTTTCAACCATTTAATCGAAACAGGAAACCATCGACACCCCGTCAACAGATGATTTTCGCTTTCTAGCTTTTCTGGCTGCCGTGTTAAAATAATATCGGAGATCTTTTCCTAGTCGGTAAAATAC